AGGTTCTTGGTACCCCGTCTTCTACTGGCCTTACTCCTCCCCTCCTGTGTCCCTCGCCTGACCAGTCGCAGCCGCAGTTACAGCCGGCCTCTCCACTGCCTGCTCCTTCTCCTTACACTGAGCAGTCTGGCGGTGTGACAGAGCGTCGTGAGCCTGCGTCTCGTCCTGTCTCGCCTGTTCGCACTGCTCGTCGCGCTCCTCGTTCATGTCCTCCTCCTGTCCCCGGCACGCACACTATGAACCTTCGTCCTTCCTCTGTTCCCCTGCGTGTTCCTCTGCCTGCTCCTCCTGAGTCCTCTCTTCCCGCCGTCCCTGACCTTGAGTCTGACCGCGCTCGTGCTGCCAGTCCCACTGTCTCTCGTCTCCTCGCCACTGCTGTCACTGACCCTTCCTTTGAGTCTGCTTCTGCGCCTGCTCTCGTTGCTGAGCTGCTTGACTTTGCTGCTGCCTATCGTCTAGATTACGCCACTGCTCTTGTTGCCGAGTCTGCGTCTGCCTGTCCTCCGTCCGTCGGGGGTGAGTGTGCTCTTAGCACGGACGTCCTTGAGGACAGGCAGGAGGACTTTGAGTGTCTTGCAGCTGCTATACCTCGTTTCGCTTCCATGCTGCTTGCCCCTGAGGGAGACCCGGATGCACCAGACATCCCGACCCCGCGCTCTTACGAAGAGGCGATTACGGGTCCTTTCTCCTCTCACTGGCAGGCAGCCATGGATGCCGAGATGGCATCCTGGAAGTCCACAGGCACCTACGTCGATGAGGTTCCCCCGCCTGGGGCGAACATAGTCGATGGCATGTGGATCTTCAGGGTGAAGCGGCCGCCGGGTTCTCCGCCTGCCTTCAAGGCGCGTTACGTTGCTCGAGGCTTCAGTCAGCGACAGGGAGTTGACTACTTCCAGACCTTCTCCCCCACCCCGAAGATGACAACTCTTCGGGTGTTGCTGCACGTCGCTTCTCTGCGTGACTACGAGTTGCACTCTTTGGACTTCAGCACAGCTTTCCTACAGGGCAGCCTGCACGAGGAGGTCTGGCTGCACCGCCCACCTGGCTTCACCGAGTCTTTTCTTGCAGGTACCCAGTGGAGTCTTCGGCGGCCAGTCTACGGACTCCGTCAGGCGCATCGCGAGTGGCACGACACACTGAGGACTACACTTGCGGCTCTTGGGTTTGCTCCTGCTACTGCTGACCCGTCGCTGTTTCTACGCACCGACACCTCGCTGCCGCCATTCTACGTCCTCGTCTACGTCGACGACCTCGTCTTTGCCACTGCTGACACTGAGGCACTGACCCTTGTGAAGTTGGAGCTGCAGAAGAGACACACCTGCACTGACCTGGGTGAACTGCGTAGCTATCTTGGCTTGCAGATCACCCGGGACAGAGCTCGGCGCACCATTACCCTGACTCAGTCACACATGGTGCACCAGGTCCTTCAGTGCTTCGGCTTCCAGTTCTCCTCGCCACAGCCCACTCCTCTGTCTACCAGCCACTCGCTCTCAGCTCCACCTTCAGACGAGTCCGTAGAGCCGAGTGGTCCGTACCCAGAGCTTGTGGGTTGCCTCATGTACCTGATGAGATGCACCCGACCTGACTCGCGTACCCTCTCAGCCTCCTGGCTCGCTACGTGGCTCCCGGTAGGCACCAAAAGGTGCACTGGGATGCTGCAAAGAGGGTACTGCGTTAGTTGTGCAGTACGTCGGGTATGGGGCTCGTGCTTGGAGGACGGGGTTCAGTCATCCCCATTGGTCACGCAGACGATTCCTGGGTTGACGACTCAGCTACGCAGCGGTCGTCACAGGGTTACCCGTTCAGCCTTGGCTCTGGCTCTGTTTCCTGGCGGTCTACCCGCTCGTCTTCGGTTCTCAGCTCCAGCTGTGAGGCTGAGATCTACGCTGGGGCCATGGCTGCACAGGAGCTACGCTGGCTCACCTACCTGCTGACTGACTTGGGAGAGCAGCCTCGTTCGCCTCCAGTTCTGTACGTAGACAACAAGGCCATGATTGCCTTGTGTCAGGAGCACAGACTGGAGCACAGAACAAAGCACATCGCTCTGCGATACTTCCTTGCTCGAGATTTGCAGCAGCGTGGCCAGCTTCGTCTTGCGTATGTGGCCACTATGGCCAACACTGCTGATATATTCACCAAGGCACTTCCGCCTGGTGATCATCAGCGCTTTGTTACTGTGTTAGGCCTTGTGCCTACTTTGCCTCACTTGCTTACTGCTTGACTCTGCTTGTACTGTGATCTATAAATATACCTGCATGCTTGCACTTGCTAGGATATGATCACTGTATTGTTTGTTCTCTTTATATAACTCTGCATGTGATCTGGCCTTGTGGCCCTTTGCTTGTGCTCGGACTGTGTGGTGACTTTGTGATCCACCCTGAGCTTGCTTTGCTTTTCTTGACTGGTCTTGTGACCACTTGTTCTCCCCCACTTTGCCTATGGAGGTGTGTCAGAATGTTATAGTGGTTACATTTGTGTAGGCTATAGTGGGGTAGCCCATAAGGGGTACAACCCAATTAGGGTTAGTACTTGTACCCAACTGTTTCATAGTTCATCCATTCTCATTCGTTCTCTTGACAACATGCGTAATTAGGTGCCACGTCCTTTAACATGGCTGGTGCGGTGAGTATGCGTGTGAAGACTACACGTGGACCAATTTTGGTTTTGTCATCCTGTTGTATTTTATTAGTCAGCTTTTCGCCTTTTGTGGTGTGCTAACTCCTCATGTGCCTAGGTATGAGCAGGGTAGGGGAGTGTTGACGCAAAGTGTAAGAGTACGTCGACGTTCGACATATTTCTCATTTCCATATTTTTAGTCTATCTTATTCTCCTTATTTTCCTCTTTCATTTGCACTTTATTTCACCTCAATCGGACCACTATTCAATTTTCTAGAGCTTTCCGATTATCTCACTTATTATGTATTTTCGGCACCGACATTTACATTATACGACACCGACAGCACCGACGGTGGTGTACAAGGCGTAATCTCGCCATAATCCGAAGTGCCAATGGGCTTGCGTGCTTATGCGCACTAGTGATTATTTATTCTAGAAGAGCGCATTCCCGAAGGTTCGGATTATCTGTTGTTTCTACGTATTTCTGAGTATAAATACGCCTTGTACTCACCTTTAGTGCAACATTCTCGAATGCCTGGGGGGCAGCAGCAGCAGCGCGCGGAGGCTGCTGTCCACCCCCAGTGCCTCAGTTCCTACCAGCCACACACAGCAGCTCGTGGCGGCGGAGGCACTGGGTGTGGACAGCAGCAGCAGCCACGCACCCCTCAGGAGCTTCGTGAGTGGGTGGTTCTGCATGGCTCCACTGGGGCCAATGTTCGTTGCCCGTACGTCCGGCGCATGGGGCTCAGTGTTGGAGTAGGCTAGAGCTCGCTCTGGCCTTTATTTTGGTGTTCTCTTATCATTCCACCATGCTTAGAGCGAGTTATGCTTCCAGGTTCAATTTAGGTTCATTTCGTAGCTATAGTACAAACTGAACACACCCTAAGTTCAATTAGGGTTTCCAATTCCTTTCTAGACTTGTATCTCGACACTTCTTTCCTAATACAATTTTTTCTCTCGCTACCTTCTCTCTTCCTAGCCATGGCTACCACACTCTCAGTTTTAACATGGTATCTAGAGCCAAATCCTTGGCGTTTTGTCCCAATCTATATCTCTTAGTACGGTTTAGGCCTTAGGCATCCGGCGCGCCACTTTTTACCTAGTCGAAAATTATCTTCCCTAGTATTTCGACCCTTAAAGTTTTTTTTTTTTTTTTTTCAATCACGGAACCTTCCATCCATCACCCGAGGTCTCCCTGCCTAGTCACGCGCCCCGTCCCCTAGTCGCGCGCCCTGTCTCGTCGTCGCGCCGCCCTCCCCCCCCCCCACCTCGTCGCGCGCCCTACTCACCGCCGCGTCGCGCGCCCTGCCCGTCGTCGACGTGCGCGGCCGTCCCGCCGTCGACGTGCGCGGCCTCCCTGCCGTCGATGCGCGCGCGCGTCTTGCCCACCGCCCTCCATCTCCTTGGCCACCCTTCCCTCCTCCCAGCCACCCTTCCTTACCCTCTCGTGGGCGGCCTGCCACACCTCCCTGCAGGCGCCTTCCCCTCCCCCCCGTGGTGCGCCTTCTTCTGTCGTTTCTGCACCACCTCCTCCTTCTCCCCTCACCCCATCCGCCTCTTCACCCTCCTCCTCCTCTCCTCATTCCTTCCTCCCTTCCGTGCCTTTCCTCCCTTCCTCCACCTCCTTCCCCTCCGCATCTGCCACCTGGCTGCGTGTTACTGATTGCCACTTGGTGATCGTGACCCTACTTCCTCCCCACACTCCGCTCCTTCACCCTCCTCCTCCTCTTCTCTCTCCCTCTATTTCCCCCACCCTCTCACCTCTTCCTCCGCCTCTCTTCTCTCCCTATCTGCTGCAGCTGGTAGCTGTCCGTGTTTCGTCGCCTTCCACACCTTTCCTCCTCCTCGTATTTCTCCCCTCAGCGGCGCAGCAGCAGACTACTTCGCCGCTATCCCTCCTCCTCGTATTTCTCCCCTCAGCGGCGCAGCAGCAGACTACTTCGCCGCTATCCCTCCTCCTCGTATTTCTCCCCTCAACGGCGCAGCAGCAGATTACTTCGTCGCTATCCCTCCTCCTCGTATTTCTCCCCTCAGCGGCGCAGCAGCAGACTCCTTCGCCCCTATCCCTCCTCCTCGTATTTCTCCCCTCGGCGGCGCAGCAGCAGACTACCCCGCCGTTTTCCCTCCTCCTCGTATGTCTCCCCTCAGTGGCGCAGCAGCAGACTACTTCGTCGCTATCCCTCCTCCTCGTATTTCTCCCCTCAGCGGCGTAGCAGCAGACTCCTTCGCCCCTATCCCTCCTTCTCGTATTTCTCCCCTCAGCGGCGCAGCAGCAGACTACCCCGCCGTTTTCCCTCCTCCTCTTATGTCTCCCCTCAGCGGCGCAGCAGCAGACTACTTCGTCGTTATTCCCCCTCCTCTTATTCCTCCCCTCAACGGCTCAGCAGCTGACTACATCGCCCCTATTCCTCCTCTTCTTTTCTCTCTCCAACACTGCTTTACTGCTATCCCCTCCCCCATATGGGGCCTCTTCTCGCTCTTACCTCTCTTCCTCTGCGCTTCCATCCTCACCCTTCTCCCGCCGTACCTCCTCTCCTACCATTGCCTTCCCTACTCTCCGCCCCCTTCGCTGCCCCTTCCTCCCCTTCCGCCCTTCCTACTTGCCGTTGTACCTCCCCTCTTCTCCACCCCTCTTCTTGGATTCCGCTATCCCATCAGCGTCGCCGCTCTTCTGCCGCTGTAACCTCTGGTTTTGGCTCTCTGGCCTCTGTTTTCAGTGTGACCATGCCATCTCATGATAGCATCCTTGGTGCTTCTCCTCTTATGGACCCTCGCTTTCTCGTTCCATTTTCTCCACCCGTTCAAAGCACTGCTTCTCACTCTCCCAGCCCTACGGCTGCCGCTCTCTCACTTCCTCGCACCTTGGATTTTGTCCTTGACAGTGCTGCTACTGACTCTGTCTTTCGTGATGCTGGTGTTCTTCGCAATTTTCCTCGTCCCCTCTCTATTGATGGGGCTGGGGAGACCATGACCATGATCTGCACAGGCACTTCCTCTCTTCCCTGTCCTGCCTCTCCCTCTGGCGCTGTTACTGGCCTTTATGTTCCCTCTTGCCGTCACAACCTCCTATCCCTTCCTGCCCTTCAACGCCTCGGTGTACGAGTGCTCTTCCCCGCAGGTGCACTCTATTGTGATCTTCATTACCACGACCGGCACCTCGCTCGTTTCACCCTTTCTCCTACTACTCGCCTCTACACCCTTCGTGTTCCCCTCCCCTCATCTGTCCACCACACTTCCTCTTCTTCTGTCCCTCCCGTCTCCTCTTGCGACTGTCGCTCTCTCACCCAACCTACCCTTCTTCTCCATCATCGCCTTGGCCACCCCAACTTCCCTCTCCTTCGCAGCATGGTCAACTCGAAGCTGCTTCATGATCTCCCTTCCTCTCTCCCGCCCCTTCCCCCCTCTCCCGCTCCTCCATGCACCCCTTGTGTTCAAGCTAAGCTCTCCCAATCTCCCCATCCTTCTTCCCCTTCTGCCTCCCCCAAACCCCTTGATCTTGTGCATATGGACCTCTGGGGTCCCTCTCCCATTGCCTCCCGTCAGGGTCATCGCTATTTTCTTCTTCTCGTCGATGACCATTCTCGCTTTGCCACTGTCTATCCCCTCCGTGCCAAATCTGACGCCCCCTCCCTCATCATTCGCTGGGCTGAGCAGGCGCGTCTTCGCTTTGGCCGCCCTGTCGCGCGCCTCCACTCTGATGGTGGTGGCGAGTTCTTTAACCACTCTCTTTCTTCTTACTGCTCCTCTCATGGCATTCGCCAAACCTCCACCCTTCCGCATTCTCCTGAACAAAATGGTGTTGCCGAGCGTCGTATTCGCACTCTCACGGAGATCACCCGCTGTCTCCTTACGCATGCTTCTGCTCCCCACTCTCTTTGGAGCTACGCTCTTGTTCACGCCACTCTTCTTTCTAACCTTCGCCCTCATCCCCTTCGCTCTTCCATTACACCCTTTCAGCTCTGGACTGGCCGCCAGCCTTCTGCCCGCCCTCTTCGGGTGTGGGGCTGTGTCGCTCATGTCCTCATCAATCCCGCTGATCGGGCGCGTCAGGGTGGGAAGCTCGCTCCCAAGACGCAGCTTTGTGCGTTTATTGGTATCAACTCTGACTGTCCTGGCTACCTTTTCTATGCTCCCTCCTCTCAGCAGCTCATTCGCAGCCAGGATGTCATCTTTGATGAGACTCAATCTCCATTCCTCACTCCCGCTCCCACCCCACCTGCTCCCTCTCTCCATTGGTCTGACTTTGATCCGCTGCCCTCTGCTGCTCCCTCTCCTCCTCCCCTTCCTCTTGCCCCTGCTCCACCTACCCTGCCTGCCTCCTCCACCCCCCCCCTCCGCTGTCATCTCTGGCATCTCTCCTCCTGCCTCTTCATCTTCTGCTCCCATGGCCCCTCCCTCATCACCTCCTTCTGCTACCCTCCCTTCTGCACCTGCCCCCCCACCCTCTCCCCGTCTCACCCGCTCCATGACCCGTGCAATGTCCAATTTTCAACACTCTGCTCTCTTTACTCGTCTCTCTCCCTCTCAGAACGTTGATCTTCTCGAAGATCGCTTTGAGGAGCTTTTCTCTGTTCATCCTGTTTCACCCCTCCTCTGTGTCACCATTGGCGACTTCTCCAATTCTCCGACTCTTCTCTCCGTTGACACTGCCGCTATTCCCACCCCTCAGACCTATTCCGAGGCAGTGTCTGGCTTTCATGCAACTGAGTGGATGGCTGCCATTATTGCCGAGTGTGAGGCATTCACTAGGACTCACTCTTACGTTGACTCTGTCCCCCCCCCTTGCGCCACCATTGTGAAGGGCAAATGGGTCTTTCGTGTCAAACAGCTGCCTGGGGAGCTCCCTGTCTTCAAAGCCCGTTACTGCGCCAAAGGCTTCACCCAACGTGAAGGCATTGACTACTTTGCCACTTACTCCCCCACTGCCCGTCTCCCCACTCTTCGCCTCCTTCTTGATCTAGGCGCCCGCTGGAATTGGGAGATTCACTCTATGGATGTCTCCAATGCCTTTCTCCAAGGCGAGCTTCATGAACGCATTTTCCTTGAGCGCCCCGCTGGCTTTCCTCGCCCCTTCCCTCCAGGCACTGTCTGGGAGCTGAAGCGCCCAGTGTATGGTCTTAAGCAGGCCCCACGCGAGTGGCATGCTAAGCTTGCCTCCACTCTTCACTCTCTTGGCTTCTCCACCTCCTCTTCCGACCCCAGTCTCTTCATTCGCACTTCCCCCCACAGGGTTTACATTCTTGCCTACGTCGATGACTTGGTGCTCCTCGCTGAAGATTCTGCCGACCTTGCCGCTGTCAAGCTAGCCCTCCAGGCACGTCTCCTGTGCAAGGATCTTGGCGAGCTTCGCCACTACCTTGGCATGGAGATTCGTCGCGATCGTACTGCGCGCACCATCTCTCTCTCTCAATCTTTCTACATCCACTCCATCCTTGAACGCTTTGAAATGTCACAGGCTAAGCCAGTTTCCACTCCTCTTCCCGCTAACCATCAGCTTACTGCCCCTGCCGTTCCCGCTCCCTCCTCAGAACTGCGACCCTATCCTGAGCTCGTTGGGTCACTCATGTATGCTATGATGTGCACGCGCCCCGATCTTGCTTACCCCCTCAGTGTCCTCTCTCGCTTTGTTGGCCTTGGTCGCCACACAGACGTGCACTGGGCGGCTGCCAAGCGCGTTCTCCGCTATCTCCGCGCTACCTCTGATCTTGCTCTCACTCTTGGTGGCTCTTCTCCCCCTGTTCTTTGCGGTTCCAGTGATTCCTCCTATGCTGATTCTCGCCCTGATCGCCGCTCCTCTCAGGGTTATGGTTTTACTCTTGGCAGTGGTCTCATCAGCTGGCGCTCTACTCGCTCATCCTCTGTCTGCCTTTCTACCTGCGAAGCTGAGTTGTACGCAGGCACATTGGCAGCTCAGGAGGCTCGCTGGCTCTCCTTTCTCCTTGCTGAGCTCGGTCACTCTCAGCTGTCAAACATTATACATGTTCATATTGTGTAGGCTATAGTGGGTTTAGCCTTAGGGGGTACAACATTGCTAGGGTTTCCTACTTGTATCACCCTGCTGCCTAGTTTCACACATTCTCGTTCAGTTCTACATTCTAACATGGTATCACGAGCCTAGGTTGCTACCTAGGACCGCTTTCTCCTACGGGCCCACTATTCCGCTAGAAGCGCCCTCGTGCGCCCTACCTTACGTGCGCCCTCGTGCGCCTTTCTATACTCGTGCGCCCTCGTGCGCCCTCGTGCGCCCTACCTTACGTGCGCCCTCGTGCGCCCCCGTGCGACCCGCCCTTCGGTCTGCCCGCGTGCCGTCCTGCAGCCCTCGCGCTGCCTCCTGCAAGCTAGTACGGCCCTCGAGCCGCCCCTGCAGGTCCGTCAGGCCCCCGAGCCGCCTCTGCAGACCCGTCAGGCCCCCCCGAGCCGCCTCTGCAGGCCCGTCAGGCCCGAGAGCCGCCCCTGCAGCCAGCGCGCTGCCCTGCCGAGCCGCGTGTCGCCCGTGGGCGCTGCCTCTGCCCCGTCGCGCTGCCCTGGGGAGCCGCGCGCGACCCCCGCTGTCCCGTCGCGTCGCCCTGGGGAGCCGCGCTCGGCCCCCGCTGCCCCGTCGCGACGCCCTGGGGAGCCGCGCTCGGCCCCCCGCTGCCCTGTCGCGACGTCCTGGGGAGCCGCGCTCGGCCCCCGCTGACCCGTCGCGACGCCCTAGGGAGCCGCGCGCGACCCCCCGCTGCCCCGTCGCGACGCCCTGGGGAGCCGCGCGCGCCCCCCCCCCCCCCCCCCCCCCCCCCCCCCCCGCTGCCCCGTCGCGACGCCCTGGGGAGCCGCGCGCCGCCCCCCCCCCCCCCCTCGCTGCTGCCCGAGCCACCCTGCAGCCCGCGAGCCACCTCTGCAGCGCCGAGTGCGCTCTGCCAAACCCTAAAATAAATAATTAATTAAAAAAAAAAAAAGGGAGCAGCTGCCAGCAGCTGCCCCTGCAGCAGCCGCCCCTGGACCTCTGCAGCCGCCCCTGGCCCCTGAAGCAGCCGCCCCTGCAGCTGCCGCGGAGCCCTCGCCCTGCAGTGGTAGCGGCCTCGCCGTTACCACCGTCGTACGCCTGCCCTTCTCGCCACTGGTGAGCACTGCCCTGCCCGTATTGCTGTTACTGCTGCTCCTGCTGCTACTGCTCTCTCTACTTCTACTGCTGCTCCTGGCGTGGCCAGATGCAGCTCCAGCGCCGTCCGCGTGAGTCCCTCACGCCCCAACAGCTTCGTGAGTGGTATGCTGGTTGGGGTTGTAGGGGTGGCCGCGCTGCTGCTACTACTACTGCTGCTACTACTGCTACTGCTGCTCCTGGCGGTGGCCAGATGCAGCTCCCGCGACGTCCGAGTGAGTCCCTCACGCCCCAGCAGCTTCGTGAGTGGTACGCTCAGCGTGGAGGGTCACGGGGTACTGCTCGCTGCCCGTACGTCATTCGCACTGGTGCTCGGACTGGTCAGCCTTGCGGGACGTTTGGTCACACAGAGTCCCGCTGCTTCGCCCGTCTGAGCGACGCCTGGCGTACAGAGTTTGGCGACGCGGCTGAGCTCCCCGACTGGGTGGAGCTGCTTAGGCAGAGGGTAGATATCTATGCTCTTGACTATGATGCTATCCTCACTGCCATGTATGCATTTCCTACTAGTGCTGAGAGTGCCTGTCACCTGTGTGTGCCGCCTGACCCCGGTATCCAGTCTGCTGCTCTAGGTACTGGTGAGGCTGCTGCACTAGGTGCTCGTGTTCTCCCTTGTCCTGCGGTCCCGTCGGGCACTCTGTCGGGTCTCTACCTCCCCTCGTTCTCTACGAACTTGGTGGCGGGTAGTGCGCTCCAGGACGGGGGTGTCCACCAGTTTACCCCTGCCTACGAGCGTGTGACACACTGCACGTGCGCTCGGACGGGCCGCCACCTGGCTACCTTCACTCGGCAGCCGGGGTCGGACCTGTACACACTGACCACTGAGTCCCCACAGGTAGCTGCGTCTGCGTCTGCGTCAGGTCAGCTGTCTGCCCCCTGCTCGTGTCGCTCTCTGGCACACGAGACCGTCCTCTGGCACCACCGTCTTGGTCACCCGTCAGTGCAGCGCCTTCGTGCCATGCACAACCGGTACCTTGTCTCTGGTCTTCCCAGGGTTCTCCCTCCACTCCCACCCTCGCCTGCTCCTCCCTGCCTTCCCTGTGTCGAGGGGCGGCAGCGCGCCGCTCCTCACTCCTCCTCGTTTCCCCCGACGACTGCTCCCTTGCAGACGCTCCACATGGACGTGTGGGGCCCAGCCCGCGTCCGTGGACAGGGTCAGGAGAGGTACTTCCTGATCGTTGTTGACGACTACTCGCGCTACACCACGGTCTTCCCCTTGCGCACCAAGGGTGAGGTCCCTGATGTTTTGATCCCTTGGATCCGCGCTTCTCGTCTCCAGCTCAGTGAGCGGTTCCACTCGGACTTTCCTGTCCTGCGTCTGCACTCTGACAGAGGTGGTGAGTTCTCCTCTGACCTCTTGGCAGCCTACTGTGCGGAGCACGGCATCCGCCAGTCGTTCACGCTTCCGGCCTCTCCACAGCAGAATGGGGTTGCTGAGCGCCGCATTGGTTTGGTCATGGAGGTCGCTCGTACCTCCTTGATCCATGCGGCTGCCCCCCACTTTCTGTGGCCGTTTGCGGTCCGATACGCTGCGCATCAGCTCAACCTCTGGCCCCGTGTCTCCGTTCCGGAGACTTCGCCGACACTGCGTTGGACGGGAGAGGTTGGCGATGCGTCGCGTTTTCGGGTCTGGGGATCCCGAGCTTTTGTTCGCGATACGTTCGCGGACAAGCTCTCCTCCCGCGCTGTTCCCTGTGTCTTCCTTGGCTTTGTCCCGGACGCGTCTGGTTGGCAGTTTTACTACGCCACCTCGCGCCGTGTCCTGCCCTCTCAGGACGTCACTTTTGACGAGTCCGTGCCCTACTACCGCCTCTTCCCCTACCGCACTGCCCCGCTCCCCCCCCCGCCTCTCTTCCTCGCGCCAGGTGCTGCTGTGGTAGACCCCCTCCCCCCTCAGGGTGCCGCTCCCTCAGGTGTGTCCCAGGTAGACCCGGTTGAGCCTGTCGAGGTAGCTGTCGACTCTCGTCCTGCCAGGGGTGCTGAGCCTGAGCGTGCGGAGCCTGGGGTTGCGAAGTCTGGGGGTGCTGAGCCTGGGGGTGCGGGGTCTGGGGGTGCGGAGCCTGCGGGTGCTGAGTCTGGAGGTGCTGAGCCTGGGGGTGCTGAGCCTGGGAGTGCTACGTCTGAGAGTACTGAGCCTGAGCGTGCTGCACCTGGGGGAGGCCTCTCCTCGCAGCAGCTGCGTGAGTGGTACTTACAGTACTGCAGCCTCAGGAGAGGTGCTTCTGGAGCTCGGAGTGGTGCCGGAGCTGGTGCTAGTGCTTCCCCTCCTAGGCGGGAGCTGCCCTCTCCCCAGCAGCTCCGAGAGTGGTACGCTAGGCGCTGCAGTCTCCGGAGTGGCGCTCCCGGTGTCGTGGACTCTGGAGCTTCTGGAGTTACTGGAGGTGCTGCTGCTGCTGGCGGTGCGGCTGGCGCTGCTGGAGGTGCTGCTGGTGCTGCTGGTGCTGCTGGAGCTGCTGGAGGTACTGCTGCTGCTGGAGGTGCTGCTGGCGCTGCTGGAGGTACTACTGGTTCTGGTGCTGCTGGAGCTGCTGGAGGTGCTGCTGCTGCTAGCGGTGCGGCTGGCGCTGCTGGAGGTGCTACTGGTGCTGGAGCTACTGGAGCTGCTGGTGGTACTGCTGCTGCTGGCGGTGCTGCTGGCGCTGCTGGAGGTGCTGCTGGTACTGGTGCTGCTGGAGCTGCTGGAGGTGCTGCTGCTGCTGGTGGTGCTGCTGGCACTGCTGGAGGTGCTGCTGGTACTGGAGCTGCTGGGGACCCTGCTGCTGCTGGCGGTGCTGCTGGAGCTGCTGGGACTGGCCCTGCTGAGGGGGTTGGAGCTGGAGGTGCTGAGCGGCCACGGCCGTACTACGTTCCGCTCCTTCAGCAGGTTCTTGGCCTTCCGCCCTCTCCTGGTCCTACTCCTCCCCTACTGAGTCCACCGCTTGTCCAGTCGCAGTCACAGTTACAGCCAGTCTCTCCACTTCCTGGTCCTTCTCCCTACACTGCGCCGACGGGAGGTCTTACGGAGCGTCGTGAGCCTGAGTCTCGTCCTCCGTCGCCTGAGACTCGTCCAGAGTCGTCTGAGTCGCGTCCAGAGTCGCCTGTCCACGCTGTCCGCGCTGGTCGTCGTGTTCCACGTTAGCGTCCTCCTCCTGTCCTTCGCACTCACTATATGACCCTGCGTCCCTCTACTGCTCCACAGCGTGTCCCACTGCCGTCTCCGCCAGCGTCCTCTCTTCCTGCTCTTGCTGACCCGGAGTCTGACTCTCTTCGTGCTGCCAGTCCTACTGTCCCGCGTCTCCTTGCCACTGCTGTCACTGACCCTTCCTTTGAGTCCTCTGCTGCGTCTTCTCTAGTCGCTGAGCTTGTTGACTTTGCTGCTGCCTGTCGTCTAGACTACGCCGCTAGCCTTGTTGCTGAGTCTGAGTCTGAGTCTGTCTGTCCTCCGTCTGTCGGGGGTGAGTGTGCTCTTGGCACGGACGTCCTTGAGGACAGACAGGAGGAGTTTGAGTGCTTTGCCGCTGCTTTGCCTCATCTCGTGTCCATGCTAGTTGCCCCTGAGGGAGACCCGGATGCACCAGACATCCCGACCCCACGCTCCTACGCAGAGGCGATGGAGGGTCCCTACTCCTCTCAGTGGCAGACAGCCATGGACGCAGAGATGGCTTCCTGGAAGTCCACAGGCACCTACGTCGACGAGGTTCCCCCACCTGGGGCGAACATCGTCAGTGGCATGTGGATTTTCAGGGTGAAGCGGCCGCCGGGTTCTCCGCCTGTCTTCAAGGCACGTTACGTTGCACGAGGCTTCAGTCAGCGAGAGGGAGTTGACTTCTTCCAGACCTTCTCCCCGACCCCGAAGATGACCACTCTTCGGGTTCTGCTGCACGTCGCCGCTCAGCGTGACTACGAGCTCCACTCTCTTGACTTCAGCACTGCGTTCTTACAGGGCAGCCTGCACGAGGAGATCTGGCTGCGCCGCCCACCTGGCTTCACTGGGTCGTTCCCTCCTGGTACCCAGTGGAGCCTCCGGCGGCCAGTCTACGGTCTCCGCCAGGCACCCCGTGAGTGGCACGACACAGTGAGGACTACTCTTGTTGCTCTTGGGTTTGCTCCTTCTACTACTGACCCGTCGCTGTTTCTACGCACCGACACCACTCTGCCGCCGTTCTACGTTCTTGTTTACGTAGACGACTTGGTCTTTGCTACTGCTGACACTGAGGCACTCGCCCACGTGAAGTCGGAGCTGCAGAAGAGACACACGTGCACAGACCTGGGTGAGCTGACAAGCTATCTTGGCTTGCGGATCACCCGGGACAGAGCACAGCGCACCATCACCTTGACTTAGTCACACATGGTGCAGCAGGTCCTTCAGCGCTTCCGCTTCACGTACTCCTCGCCTCAGCCCACTCCTCTGCCTACCGGTCACTCGCTCTCAGCTCTGCCTTCGGATGAGTCCGTAGAGCCGAGTGGCCCGTATCCAGAGCTTGTGGGCTGCCTCATGTACCTGATGACCTGCACTCGACCTGACCTGGCATACCCTCTTAGCATCCTAGCACGCTATGTCGCTCCCGGCCGTCACCGGAAGGAGCACATGGATGCCGCTAAGAGGGTGTTGCGCTACTTGTGCAGTACGTCGGGCATGGGGCTCGTGCTTGGAGGTCGGAGCGACGTTGTCCTCACGGGTCACTCAGACGCTTCTTGGGCTGACGACCAGGCTACGCAGCGGTCGTCTCAGGGTTACACCTTCAGCCTTGGCTCTGGTTCAGTTTCTTGGCGTTCTACTCGCTCTTCTTCTGTTCTCAGCTCCAGTTGTGAGGCTGAGATCTACGCCACAGCCATGGCTGCACAGGAGTTACGCTGGCTCACCTACCTGCTGACCGACCTGGGAGAGCGGCCTCGTTCTCCTCCAGTGCTGTACGTTGACAACAAGGCCGCCATTGCCTTGTGTGAGGAGCACAGACTGGAGCACAGGACGAAGCACATCGCTCTGCGCTACTTCCTTGCTCGAGAGCTGCAGCAGCGTGGTCAGCTTCGTCTGCGTTACGTGGCCACTCGGGCCAACACTGCTGATGTGTTCACCAAGGCGCTTCAGCCTTGTGACCATCAGCGTTTCTGTACTGTTCTAGGCCTTGTGCCTACTCTCCCTCACTTGCTCACTTCTTGACTCTGCTTGTACTGTGATCTCTATATATATATACCTGCATGTTTACTCTTGTTAGGTTGTGATCACTGTACCTCTTGTTATATTATCAAACTGCATGTGAACTGGTCTTGTGACCACTTGCTTGTGCTCGGAATTTGTGTGGTTTCCTTGAGATCCACCCTGAGCTTGCTTTGCTTTGCTTTGACTGGTCTTGTGACCATCTGGTTGTCTCCCACTTAGCCTATGGGGGTGTGTCAAACATTATACATGTTCATATTGTGTAGGCTATAGTGGGTTTAGCCTTAGGGGGTACAACATTGCTAGGGTTTCCTACTTGTATCACCCTGCTGCCTAGTTTCACACATTCTCGTTCAGTTCTACATTCTAACATCAGCCCTCTGTGACGCTCTCCTGTGACAATGCGAGCATGATTCATCTCACTGAAAATCCTGTCTATCACGCCCGCAGCAAACACATAGAGGTCCGCTACTTCTTCGTGCGCGAGCTGGTGCAGTCTGGCTTCTTACGCCTTCGCAAGGTGGCCGCTACTGCCAACCTTGCTGACATTTTCACCAAGGCCCTTCTGCGTGCGCCACACCGTTTCTACGTGCGCGAGCTTGGGCTCACGCGTCTTGCCACTTCTGGGGGTGTTCCCGTTCGCTAGGTGTTTTATTCCAGAGCTTCACCTAGCCTGGGGGTGTGTTGGAGTAGGCTAGAGCTCGCTCTGGCCTTTATTTTGGTGTTCTCTTATCATTCCACCATGCTTAGAGCGAGTTATGCTTCCAGGTTCAATTTAGGTTCATTTCGTAGCTATAGTACAAACTGAACACACCCTAAGTTCAATTAGGGTTTCCAATTCCTTTCTAGACTTGTATCTCGACACTTCTTTCCTAATACAATTTTTTCTCTCGCTACTTTCTCTCTTCCTAGCCATGGCTACCACACTCTCAGTTTTAACACTCAGGACTGGTGAGCCCTGTGGGAAGACTGGGCACACGGAGTATCGTTGCTTCTGTCGTCTCGAGGATGCCTGGCGCACCGAGTATGGAGATGAACTAGCCCCCCCCAACTGGTTAGCGTTGCTAGGGAAGGGGGTAGATGCGTTTGCTCTTGACTTTGTCAAGATCAATGCTGGAATCTATGCTATGTATGCTGGTGCTGCTAGTGTTGAGGGTGATTGTTACTCGTGTGTGCCACGTGCTGCTGGTGTAGAGGGTGCTGCTCTATGTGCTTGTGAGTCTGCTGCCGCAGGTACTACTTCTACTGAGGCTTTGCACACCTTCACACTTGACTTAGGCGCGTCTCGCTGTTTCTTTCGCGATTGCACCACAGACACACCGCTCACAACACCTGTCCCAGTCTCTCTGGGTGACCCCTCTGGGTCCCCAGTTGTTGCACGAGCCTCCACTGTGCTCCCTTGTCCGGCAGTCCCCTCCGGTTCTCTGTCCGGTCTCCACATCCCCTCGTTCTCTAAGAACTTTGTGAGTAACGCTGTCCTCCAGGACGAGTTGGTCAGTACCTTTACTCCTGGAGGTGAGCGTGTGGCGATCTGTTTGGACTCACGCACTGGCGAGCACCTCGCCACGTTCCCCCGGAGCCCTGGGTCTAGCCTGTACACACTGACCACTGAGTCTGCACAGGTGGCTGCGTCAGGTCAGTTGGCTGAGTCTCCACAGGTGGCTGCGTCAGGTCAATTAGCTGCGCCTTGTTCATCCCGGCTACTCTCGCACCAGACTCTCCTCTGGCACCACCGTCTTGGTCACCCCTCCCTGCCGTGCTTGCGTGGCCTGCAGTCTTGTCTCCTTGTCTGTGGCCTCCCCAGGTCCCTGCCCCCACTCCCACGCTCACTTGCACCGCAATGCATTCCCTGCGTCGAGGGGCGGCAGTGCGCCACTCCTCACTCCTCCTCGTTTCTGCCGACCACTGCCCCTCTGCAGACTCTCCACATGGACGTGTGGGGCCCAGCCCGCGTCCGTGGTCAGGACCACGAGCGCTGATTTCTGCTGATTATTGACGACTACACGCGATACACCACGGTCTTCCCCTTGCGGCGCAAGGCGGATGTCAGAGGAGTTTTGATCGACCGGATCATCGCTTTTCGTCGCCAGCTGAGCGCTCGGTTTGAGCAGGACCTCCAGGTCCTGTGGCTGCACTCTGACAGAGGCGGTGAGTTTTCCTCCGTCCTCCTTCGGGACTTTTGTCGTGCGGAGGGCATCCGCCAGACGTTCACGCTTCTGGCCTCTCCACAGCAGAATGGGATTGCTGAGCGCCGCATTGGCTTAGTCATGGACGTTGCTCGCACCTCCATGATCCATGCGGCTGCTCCTTATTTTTTGTGGCCGTTTGTGGTCCGATACGCCGCACATCAGCTCAACCTCTGGCCCCGTGTCTCTATGCCAGAGACCTCGCCTACACTGCGTTGGACGGGGGAGGTTGGCGATGCGTCAGCGTTTTGGGTCTGGGGCGCGCTCTCCCTTGTTCGCGATACCACCGCGAGCAAGCTCTCCCCTCGCACTCTCCGCTGCGTCTTCCTTGGCTTCCCACCGACGCCCTGCCCTGGAAGTTTTACCACCCTGTCTCGTGTCGGGTCCTGTCTTCACAGGACGTCACCTTTGATGAGTCGGCCTGCTTCTACTGTCTCCACCCGCACACGTCTTCCCCGCTCCCCGCCGCCCCTCTTCCTAGTCCCAGGTCCTCCTCCGATAGACCCCCTCCCCCCGCAGTGTCCTGCTCCCTCAGGTGTGTCTCAGGTCAACCCACCCCCCTTGGTTGAGCCTTTGGATGTCTCCTCTGACTCCTCAGGCCCAGCTGAGGGGCGTGACCCCGCGGTTGACGACACGGCAACGACTCGCCATTCCCCGCGCTTGGAGACCCCTCCTGGTTTTCCGCCTCGGCCGTCTTCGCCGCCTCCGCAGCTTGTCGCTGTGGGCTCTGCCGGTTCTGGGGGTGCTGAGTCTGGGGGTGCCGGTTCTGGGGGTGCTGAGTTTGGGGGTGCTGGTTCTGGGGGTGCTAGAGCTGCTGGTGCTGGAGGTGCTGGAGCTGGAGGTGCTGGAGCTGGAGGTGCTGTTGGTTCAAAGGGTGCTAGAGCTTCTGGAGCTGGAGTTGCTGGAGGTACTGGAGCTGCTGGAGCTGCTGGTGCTGGATGTGCTGGAGTTGCTGGTGCTGGAGGTACTGGAGGTGCTGGAGGTGCTGGTGCTGGAGGTGCTGGAGGTGCTGGAGCTGGAGGTGCTGGAGCTGCTGGTGCTGGAGGTGCTGCTGGTGCTGGAGGTACTAGAGCTGCTGGTGCTGGAGGTGCTGGAGGCGCTGGTTCTGGGGGTGCTAGAGCTGCTGGAACTGGAGGTGCTGGAGCTGCTGGTGCTGGAGGTGCTGGAAGTGCTGGTGCTGGAGGTGTTGGAGGTGCTGGTGCTGGAGGTGCTGGAGCTGGAGGTGCTGGTGCTGCTGGTGCTAGAGGTACTAGAGCTGCTGGTGCTGGAGGTGCTGCTGGTGCTGGAGGTGCTGGAGGTGCAGGTGCTGGAGGTGCTGGAGCTGCTGGTGCTGGAGGTACTGGAGCTGGAGGTGCTGGAGGTGCTGGAGCTACTGGTGCTGGACGTGCTGGAGCTAGAGCTGCTGGGGCGGCTGTCGGTACGGGTGCTGTGCCGCGCCGACCGTTTTTTCTACCCGCGGCCGCAGTCGACCCTACCACCGCCTGACTCGGCCCTTTGCCAGGTTCTTAGTCTCCTGTCTTCCACTGGCCTCACTCCACCTCTTTTGTGTCCATCGACAGACCAGTCTCAGCCACAGCTACTGCATGGCTCCCCGCTACCTGCTCCTTCTCCTCACGCTGAGGTGACTGCGTCCCTGACTGCGCGTCGTGAGCCTAAGACTCGTGCTTCCAAACCTGTTCGTGCTCGTCGTGTCCCACGTCCTCGTCCTGCTGTCCTAGGCACTCACGTTATGGAACTTCGTCCTTCCTCTGTTCCACAGCGTGTTGCCCTGCCGTCTCCTCCTGCGTCCTCTCTTCGTGACGTTCCTGACCCTGAGTCCGACCTTGCTCGTGCTACCAGTCCTAATGTCACTCGTCTCCTCGCTACTGTCGCCACTGACCCTGACTTTGAGTCTACTTCTGCGTTTGCCCTAGTCACTGAGCTAGTCGAATTTGCTGCTAGGAGTCGTCTCGACTACGTCGCGAGTCTTGTTTCTGAGTCTGAGTCTGTCTGTCCTCCGTCCGTCGGGAATGAGCTTGCCCTTGGCCGTGACGTCTTTGAGGACAGGCAGTTTGAGCTTGAGTGTCTCGCGACCACTTTACCCTGTTTCGCGTCCATGCTGCTTTGCCCTGAGGGAGACCCGGATGCACTGGACATCCCCACCCCGTGCTCTTACGCAGAGGCGATTAGGGGTGAGTACTCCTCTCAGTGGCAGACAGCCGTGGATGCAGAGATGGCTTCCTGGAAGTCCACAGACACCTACGTCGACGAGGTTCCCCCTCCTGGGGCGAACATAGTCGATGGCATGTGGATTTTCAGAGTGAAACGGCCGCCGAGTTCTCTGCCTGCCTTCAAGGCGCGTTACGTTGTCAGAATGTTGTAGTGCTTACTTTGTGTAAGCTATAGTGGGGTAGCCCATAAGGGGTACAACCCAATGAGGGTTAGTACTTGTACCCAACTGTTTCATAGTTCATTCATTCTCGTTCATTCTTTTGACATGGTATCAGAGTAAGTCCTTCGTTAGGATCGTTTTTTTTTTGCCGACCACAGCGCTGCCCAGCTAGCCGCCCTCTGCAGCTCTCGTACTGCCCCTACTGCCCTGCGCGCTCCGTCGACCCTAGGCCCAGGCCCGCCCGTTGCCCCTAGGCCCCGCGCGCCCGTCGACCCCTAGGCCCCGGTGCGACCCGTCGACCCCTAGGCCCCAGCCCCCCATCGACACCTAGGCCAGGCCCGCCCGTCGACCCCTAGGTCCCGGCCCGCCCGTTACCCCTAGACCCTGGCGCGACCCGTCGACCCCTCTGCACGGCCCGCCCGTCGACCCCTAGGCCCCGCCCCCCC